GGACAACCATCATTGATCGGAAGGCAGAGGCTGACGTCATATAACTTGAGTTCTCAAAAGCTTTTGGTAGAATGAGTCGTATATGCGATATCAATAAGCTTGAACAGTTAGATATCGCGTCACTGTTTGGTTGATGTTCCTCATTCATATCTTAGTAATCAATTTTTTAAATCCAGGGCAACCTTCAATCCTTTTCAGGCTATCGAATGTTATAGTGGTGCACCTCAGGTTTCGGGACTATGGCTTCTTATCTTCTGAATTTGTATAAACGACCTTCCTCGTTGTAACGTCCAAGTTTTCGCTCACTTCCGTTATTGAGTTACGGCATATTGAACTACTTGCAACTTACGAACCCAAATTAACAATAGGACCAAGCTCCAATTTAAGTATCAAAGTTTATTCGCAATTTACAAATAGTCGACCGAAATGTCGTTCTAACAATAACTAAAACAATTACGAAACAAACCTTCAATTTTGTAGGTTCCTGGAGCGAAAACTCTCAAAAACGAAACCAAAAACGAAGAGAATTCAAAATGTCCGAAACTCTCGTGTTTTTTTTTACTTGCTCCCTCTTTCAGCCCCCTTGAGATATGGAACTGGTGACTTCATCTTTAAAGCCTTGGATATCCCAAAGGGACATAAGGTTGCGGTTTCTAAAAGCTTATACCTTCAATGTACCTATCCTTGACCATCAGTCGCACATTCGCAACGCAACTTTCATGAAGTGCGCCAACTGTGTTACTGATTTAAACCATCTACATTCATATCTTATAAATTATCAACCCAGCTATGTAATTTATTACAGTGTATATTGTATCATTTGTATCAATTTGATCGTGCCTGTAAACTGGAATGTCTCATGTAACGAACTGTTATTTGAGAATAAATTATTATTATTATAAAGATATAAACAAAAAAGTTCAGAGGCTGAGTAAAACAAACATATCCAAAAACACAGCGAACTTGTTAATACTTAATATAACGGTTTTAATCAGCCAGGTGTCTTTAATTCTCCTGTAACATTCAATAAGTATCGTCTGATTTGTAACTTCACATTGACGATTTGATAATCTGGAGAAAAGTTTGCTTATCAACCTTAACTGTTTTTAGATAAGCGTATGTGTGCGCACTTTTTATCCTATTCACCACATGTCTTTAACTTATTTCTATCTCACTACAAATATCAACTAACGCCTGATAAAATGGAATTGGCTCACTCGTTCTCACCGCTTGTCACTTCGCTTTGTACTCTTCTCTTCACCTTGTTGATCGTTTATTTGGATCAACGATTGTTTGTAATATATATATTTGGAATCCATTCTCGTATTTGACTTATTTAATTCCGTTGTGCACTAATACGAGTTAAGTCAATTATAATATACCAGGACTGGCGACGTCTATATTTCAATAACAATCATCTATCCAAATTGGAGTCAGATCTCGGACCACTAAAGTGGTGAACCCATCGACCTCGTCATCGTCCGATATAATAGGTGTCAAAATAATGACCCACCGAAGTCATTAGTTCTTACAAATGCCATAACCACTACACTTTAAATAATATAATAATGTATATTTTTGCAATGGCAGGTACACGCCATTTTTACGGGCATGATCTGTGAATTACAGCCTTTATTGTTTCACAGTACAAATGATAAATAAATATAGTCTATAAAAGTGAATATCAGTCCATTCCTTCAGATATACTGATTAATCTTTAAAATATTCTCCAAAGGGGCATCGCGTCTACGTTACACCCGAGATTCAATCTCGGCATAATTGCGTTAGGATTTCGGTCGTGAAAAGTATTTATGCAATGCAACTTTTTAACTTTATAGTTATTATAAAGTAGACTCGTAGAGCGCCTAGTGTAAACTATGACCTTTGTAAAACACGTACGTCTAGTTTGTTCCGGATGTCAGAAGTTCCATATCTGTGTCTTCAGAGCATGATTATGAAAAAAAGGAGAATTCGAGGAGCAGCAAGGCACTTGAGTATGAACGATAAATAATACTTAGCATTTTGTAGTGGAACGGACAGAGGCATGGTAAATTATTAGATTGAATTCATACTAGCTCTTGTAGCTGAAGTGAAATGTGATCAGAGCCCGCAGATGAGAGGATGAAGTAATAAAGAACAATGAGTTGTGATATTTACCAAGGTTGAGTAAGTTTAAATGAAGAAAAGGAAGTCAGGGTTGGAATAAGTGAGGCTGTTTATTAGAACAGGAAGTGTGGTGTGAACTACTTATATTGATATAAGTAGTATATGACGTGCGTTAAAAGAACGTAATGTCTGACAGCGGAAGATGGCGAAGATCAAGAAAGGTAGAGCGAGAACACAATGGAATTTGTAAGAAAATGCATAGAAAATGGAATGGGAGACTTTGGATTGGTGTATGCAACAGAAACAGTCCAGTTTGGTTTGATGCATGAATATTTTGCAAATTGACGATTTACTGTATGGTATTCAGATTTTGTTGAGATAGACTGTAATTGTTGTGCTAAATACATTCGATTGTCCCCACCCGTGTTCTTGTTCACTACAGAAGTACATATGGACAGTAAAGTGTTAAGAAAACTAATAACTACTTCTTTTATTGTTTGATGTTTTTCTCATCCGATGCCTGCCACAGTCTTAATGTAAAAGTTCGAGTTGGGATGTTATAGGTTGTCTTAGTAGAAAAGCTAATCCAGTATATAATTGGAAACACGAGTCTGACTGATGAGCGTAGGAGAACAAGTTCAATATCACAGATTGGTTGACTTGTTCTCAAATATAAAGAACCTGATACAAACAAGATATTCTGCCCCACAAACATGGATGGATTGAAGTCATCGCCCTAAACATCCGTGTGAATCTGAATTTCTGCACTCAGTTGTACCTCTTCTCTCTAATTTCATCATATATCTGTCCGACTGTGTATTGAATATAAACTCTGTATGATCTAGAATACATTTTTTAGTATTAGAGTCTGTAAGATCCAAACTGAGGTTCGGACTGAAAAATAGCTGTCTAGGAGGGTTAGATACGCGCCTTTGTCCGGTTGAAACTAAAAGAAAGTGATTTCTTAAAATGAAAGTTCAGAAATTCATCACAAATTTAAATGTATATTATTACCTAAACAACAAATATGACCACCCAGCTACACAACCGATAAATGTTCAATTAATCAAATCGAAATTACAATAAATAAGGAAGTCGATAAAGGATGAGAGAAAATTACCAATCACAACAAATAAATATTATCCTATTCTGTTGAATAGATCACGCAAAGGTTCGTTCAAAAGATAATATTTGGTTGCTTTATAACACAGAATGTTTGCAATTCTGGAAGAGTGCCTCAGTTCCCAATCAAGAATGCACGAATTCAGTCAATACAAGCAACACAATCAAAAGGATGAACAAAGCAATACGAATGCCGCCAAGACTAATTATCCAGTAAAACAACATGAATGCATTTCAGGAAGAAACATGTAGAATTAGTGAAGGCGTAAAAAAAATAAAAACTATAATAAAATTCAAATGTTGGAAACTTAAATGGAATCAAAAAGACTAACAGAATGTACAACTAAAAGAATCAATTGGAACAACCTACAGATGTATGCATGGAGGGATTTTCACACACACAAAACCTTCAAAATGGATCTTACAGGGTTAAAAACCGAAATCGAGACAGATTCACCTGATTTGTGGAATTGTGTTGTCTGTAGTATTATGATGTACTATGATATTAGTACTGCTCTAATAATAGACCTAATCCTAAATTTGTAGATTTGTCATGATATGACTGCCTAATCTATAAGATCTTACGTGGAAGTCACACCATCGACTACACCAACTCACTGTATCGTATCAATTACCAATACATGATGTAGAACAAGGTTAGGCTAAAAAAGGAACAATATATTTAGTATGAATAGAAGATATAAGGTAACATTCAGCAGAGACCACGCCTGCATGGCCGTGCCATGCCATTCGATCAACTCTAATTCATTCAGTCCATTATTCGCGCCTTCTCCATCGTTAGGTATTTCTTCGCGTTAAATATTGAATGCCTATTTTCTGAGTAATCTCGTATTCAGCTTTGGGGATAGTGTGGTTATGGTCCAATGCCACTACATGTCTACTCTTTTCTCCTGGAGTTATTAATTCGTTAAAATACCACAGCATCCTAAGTTGAAAAACACTTAGAACTGTTTTCACTCCATGATCATAAGTATTGCGCTAGCCGCAACGAAAATGCCCTTCGAAAAAACTGTGCAACGTTAACATTAAAGCTCATTTTTGGCCACTTCAACAACAGAACTGTGTATATAGTCTTCAACACTCCTACTCGACTCCATTTAGAGTATGGGAATAAAAAGTTTCCTCCTCCACACCAAGTGAGTGAGAATATATTGAAACATATTCACGAGTGAGCTGCGAAATGATTTCAGGGGATTCAAATTCAAGCCTTATGAAGAAAGCCTCAAACCATTGAACCATTGTCCATTAGAGTATATGCTTCTCAGAGATGACCTACATGTTAGCATTTTAAAAATTCCTGAGCATCTCCTTGAACGCCTACATAACTTCGTTTTCAGCGCAAACATCAGAAGTAATATTCAGAAATCGGAGACAAAACATAGCAGAACAGACTGTAGACGCACTTTTACTCTTCATGAGTAGTCAAATTCTGATATTCGCTGCCACCTGAGCTATTCTAAGTGACTCGCAAGGAGTCATTTGAGAGGAAACTCCACATATTTCTAAGTGTCAAGGACAGGATCTCACTATAGTTTGCTAAGATTTTCTTCACTTTTATCGTTATAGATAACAATATTCCTACATGACAATTTTGATGATCCACTGATACTAAATACAAAAGTCTGACACACACAAGCTTTTTGTATTCCATCCAGAACCACTTCAGTCATTCGATTACACGGAAACATCCGGTGGTTACTTGTAACTCATGTTGAATTTGGAAATCTTTGACAACGTCAATAACCAAGGTCACACAGAGCGGAAAGAGACTTGGCGATCGAAATTTGTTAAAAAACGTATTGCGGAGTGGTGAGTTCTGACGCTGTTTTGTGCCTATGAGTACCATAACATAATCCCATATGACAGTAAAGTTGGTTTTAAGTATATCTGAAAGTTAACAATGTTTTCAGTATGTAGAGTCAAGTTCCAGGTGGTTATTTCAACATCTATGTATTGCAGTAAATAATTCACTGAGCTAAACATATAGGGTGGTTCGTAACCCTCACTTAGCCGCAGTATGTGGGTGCACATTCCCAAGTTCTCTTTATCTTCGCTCAAAGGTCGTCCATGAATTATAGTTTTATCGACACTTACCTACTCCATAATATCCACTTTTTCCCACAATTTGAACCGAATCGTTTACTTTTCCTCAAAATTAACACCAAACTATAAAAATTTTTGCAGTATTAACGAGTATAATGGTTAATTTGTAACAAAACTTTGTGTACTGATATAGCGTATACTTCGGAAGTTCGCTTTTAATTCCATATGGCAAACAAATTATATTTGTGCTCGACTATACTCAACATATTGATTTAAATGAGGACAATTTTTACATGTATAGTTTTCAGGATCGTTTGCATGAGGGAAACAGTGAAACGTCCACATAGCAAATGGCAGAAAAAGTTGTCTTCAACCGTAATCTAGAAAATAATTAGTGAGAAGCTTACGTACATGTGTGAAAAAAAGCTTCTCAGTTCAAACGGGATACTCATGCACATCAATGTTTACCTGGTACATCTAGTCAGTTTAAACGTACTCCACCAATGTGAGAAGTTTGATATAGGTTTAAGTAATATTTGTTTAACAAAAAATATTTACACCAAGGGCCGCTCTCACAATAAAAGGGGTTTCAGTGACAAACAGTGTTTTCATCACTTGAATTCTAAAACAGAACAGCAGTTACTAGTCATGAATGTTTTGACAAATTACTTATCAAGCACTTGTTTCCTGGTAACTGAGACCTACATTTATGTTGCAAAGAGATGACGTGATGTAAAAAAAACTAAAACAAGATGTTCAAAGCGATAAGCGCACTTATATTACTTTCTCAACAATAATGCTTGTCCACTCATGTGAAAACCCCTAAGAAGCCACATCGTGCACTTTTGCAAGATCACGCTGGCGTTGAACTAAAGAAATTGTGACATTAATGCACATTTTTGACAATATGAACTAGAATGTAGTCTTCGTATAGCGTTATAAAATTTGTACTTCATGATGCTCCGTTTTGTAACAGTACGCATCAATGTGAAGTTCATTACTAATTCTGGTTTGATCAGGTACATTATTTTAATTTATTTATTTGATAAGATAAGCAATGGTGAAGGGAGGCACCAAATAATTATGCGCCACACTTCGTCATTCTATTTGTATGAGGGCTGGAATACTGCCAGAGTACCCAGACCCAAGTAAGTGGTTTTCTTGAAGAGCTACTTCCCGAGCCTTGAACATAGAGGTCTAATTCACAAGGCAGTGGAGCAATGTTAGGAGATGTAGTCCCACAGAAACCAGTGACCAACAATAGGTTCATACGCCATTTGCTGTCTTAGGATTCTGGAGCCCATGTGCACCATTGGTTTGGAATTAGGGTTTTCCAACTCCCCTAGATGGCCCCTCTGTGCCCACCAACCCGGTTTCCGCACCGAACGTTCGCTTTTCGTCCTCTCAATTTAGTAAACAACACCCCTGCCATGAGAAGACAGTGAGTAGGACTTCCCTGACAGTGGTTGTATAGGCGTGACCATGTGAGAGAGCGAACTCTCCTCACACTAGGCCGTATCAGGGCATTTGGAGGCTAATGAATCAGAAGTTATGCATGTATCCAACCACTTCAATGGACGTGGCTTTAAGAAACAATGTGGTTCCGTGCGGTGGTTTGTTAACTTTAAAATGTTTGTTTACCATAATACTCCGTAACTTATATCCTGCGATACATATATATAGGTCCAAGTTTTTGTTAATAAGTTAAAATCACCACTATGGGCACCTACAATCCTAACTTCTTAGGTCAGACAAACCTACCTACCTCAGTAATATCTTAGTCTAATACCTTTTCATAGCGCAAAAACATAGTTTACTAGGTTCTCACACATGTAATGAATTTGAGTCAAAGTAGTCAATTCATGAGCGTCTTGTCGTCGCACAAAAAGTTGTATGCCGTCTTATCAACTCTGATTTTGATGTAAAAAAAGGTGCATGCATATATATGTATTGTTTTGTGAAAACTTTAATTTGTGCTACGTATGCAACGACTGTTTACCAATAGCCCATACTTTACTTTTCATCCCACTTTTTGCAGTTTGAGTCCGTAAGGGTGTAGGTTACCAAACATAACTGTAACTTACTTTTTTCGTTTTTCAGCTCTTTGTAAATTCTGCTCAGTTTAAGTGCCATGAATCCCTCTCCTGCTTTTTCTGCAGCCAACGGCACTGGGTCTAACTTGCAGGCTGGAAATACAGCCTCAGCTACCTGGATTAATAAACTGAAAATCGTGGGGCGAGGACAAAACTGGGCAGTTGCACCATGCGAACCGTTTTACCTAATGGGTACGGAACCTCCTGCCCCAGATGCCGCTCTTACAGGTGCTAAGAACTTAATCGAACATTATGGTTTGGAGAACGCTTATCAAAAGTTTTGTGGTAAACGCCTTAGAGAAGAGTTAAATGCTTTCTTACCTCATTTATCTGGAAATATTGACGTCCCAGCCTCAGTTGATGAAAGTGGGTTGATGGTAAGTTTTGATCAATTTAGTTTTGAAAGATTCAATATAATATTGTAAAGGTCATATTAAACTAGTCAGTTTGACTAGCTCTTATTCCACGACTCAGTTGATTTTACTTAAAATACAATACATAACAATACAACACACAAATATAATTTTCAAATTATTCAGAATGTTGTAAATCAATATTCTCCTAACCATTCTGACAAGAAAATAGATGAATCATTTGTCAGAAGTATCTTCTTAAGCCTAAGATAAAACAGGCTGAAGTAACACCAAAAATCGAGTTCAAAAGTCTGGCCTTGTAAGTAAAACTTGCTACTAAATAGTGTATTTAATATTCATTGTCTCCTAATGTCCATTTAGTAGGTTATTTTGTTTCATTTTAAGATAATTTATCGACTGCCCTTTTCAACTCGAATTTTACTGCAACTATTTATTTGGTTGATCTCGACTTCCAATTTGCGATTGCTAAAGTCCCATACAAGTTTTTGAACTTAGTCGAAAATCAATCTTTGCATTTTCCCTGATATCTGCTGACAATCCACTGTGGTATTCAACCTTTGAGGGTGTTTATCAGGACAGCCCACCATCCTACTTTCATTTACTTTTTTCATAGGTTTCATAGAGATTACGTTATATTCATCAGACGTTTTTAGTACTAACCTTCAAAATTCACTCGTTAATATAGAGTACGCAAATGATGCATCCCTTTTTGGTGAGGACCATGACTAACTCAGTCAGTCAGTCAGCTACAACGTAGGACCAGGCACATATATGCATCGGTCCAGGTTGCCATACCTCGTTAGCACAGCAAGATGAACACCGGATTCATGGGAGTGGTTAGGTTAAAGGTGGTAATATATAGGAGAAAGATTCCATATAAGGATACAGTACCGGAATATAGAATTAGTTCGTAGAAAGAAAGATATGAGGCGATTTTGATCTCTTAGTTTAAGGGAAGACAGGGAGTGTATGTATCGACGCCATTGTGATCGATTCTGAGCCATGTCACCAAGAGTCTCCAACCATTGGTTACGATAGTCACGCGGACCCCAACCAAGTAGTCTGCATCTACCAACATGGCTCAGACTAGAAGTTAGTGTCTTCAAGCACTGATGCCACGTTTTGGTTTGACCGCCCTTAATTCTCTTTTAACCATCTCTAACACCCGTTAGCATTGCACGTCGTGGTAATCGATGTTCAGGCATACGTAACACGTGGCCCAACCATCTCAGTCGATGAAGATTAACAACCTCATCAACTGATTTACCATCATTACCTAATACCCTGCGTCTAACCTCACTATTACTTACCCGATTATCCCAGCAGACGCCAGCAATATTTCTAAGGCATCTGTGGTCAAATACTAGTAGCTTACGGGTGTCTTCTACTCTTAAAGGCCATGTTTCGCTGCCGTAAAGTAAGACAGAACGGACTGCCGCGCAGTATACTCGTCCTTTTATTGATAGACGGATATCTCGCCTTCGCCAAAAGTGACGTAAGTTGGCAAAAGCCAAACGAGCTTTTCGAATCCGTGCTGAGATTTCGTCCGATACCAGCCCATTAGGGCTGATCAGACTTCCAAGATAAGTGAAGTTGTCAACGCGTTCGACTACTTCACTCCCTATCCTTAGTTCAGGTGTTGACGCAGGCCAGTCCTGAAACAACAACTTGCATTTAGAGGGAGAGAAGCGCATTCCAAACATTCTGGCATTGTTGCTTAGTGCTACCAGAAAACTCTGCATTTTGTCAGCGTCTTCACCAAACAGGACTATGTCATCTGCGTATTCTAAGTCGATAAGTGGACCTTCTGGTAGGAGATCAATACCCGAGAATTCAGTTGACGAGAATGTTATTTCCATCACTAGGTCTATGATGAAGTTAAACAGAAATGGAGAACGTGGACAGCCTTGACGGACACCACTTGAGGTTGCAAAACTGGATGACAGTTCGCCATAAGCTCTGACTCGACTAGTAGTGTTCGGGTAAAGAGCCTTTACAAGGTTTATGTACTTCTGGGATACGCCTTTCAATGACAGACACTGCCACAGAATCTCGCGGTCTACCGAGTCAAATGCCGCTTTTAAGTCGAGAAAAACCACCATCGTCGGACACCGATAAGTATGGCTGTGTTCTAGAACCTGACGAATGGTGAATATGTGGTCGATGCAGCCACGACCAGGTCTGAAGCCAGCTTGGTTCTCTCGTGTTTGTAGTTCACGAGTCTTAGTTAGGCGTTTGATAATTATCGAGGCTAGTATATTTGTTAAACTAATCCCTCTGTGGTTGTCACAAGATGATTTTGACCCTTTCTTATATATTTGAACGATAAGTGATTGCGACCAGTCAGATGGAATAACGTCTAACTCCCAGATCTTAGCTAAAATATTGGTCAACCTAACCGCTAAAATTGGACCACCATCCTTAAAGACTTCTGGAGCCAATCCATCTGGACCAGCTGCTCTTCCTCGTTTCAGATTAACTATAGCCTTCTCAACTTCAGCAAGAGTTGGAGGACCTACTTCAATGTTCCATTCACACTGTCTGGGAATGGACGGTAGTTGTAGAGTAGCTGAAGGCCAGCTGAACTGTTCTCTGAAATGTTCCGCCCATCGTTCTAAACGCCTAGACTGGGAGCAGATGAGTGTATTGTCTTTTTCCGAAATAATCTCACTTACACTTGACTTATTAGTTCCAGTTTCTTTTATTAGTCTGTAGAGCTGTCTTGTGTTTCCTATAGTCGCCGCCTTTTCCATCTCTTTTGCTTTCGTTGCCCACCACTGCTCACGGTCGTTTCTTAGACTTTTTCTTAACCTAGATCTGATTTGTTGTCTCTCTTCATCATGTTCGGAACCTGATGGGACGAGTTTGCGAGAATCCATCAGTGTGATAGACCTCAAAGAAATCCACTGGTCCTTTGAAACTCTGTGGTTTAAGTCCCTAATAGATGTCACTGCTGCTTCCACAGCTGCTTGTATGTCTTTCCAAGCAACATCTGGGTCAGCCTCGTCTTCAGAACTACCTAAGTGTGAACTCAGTTGTTCTTGGAACCTATTTTTGGTTTTCTCGTTACTCATTTCAGTTCTAATGGGTCTTTTTAATGTGGCTTTTTTGTGTCCAGTGAGGCGCAAACAGATGCGTGCCCGTATTAGGGCATGGTCGGAGTCCAAGCAGGTACTCCAGAATGAGCAACAATCTTGTACCGACCCTCTCCAACGATGACTTTTGGCAATACGGTCTATTTGAGTCCATCGTTGGTTTGGTGTAGGGGGTGACCATGTTAGACGATGTCTCTCCTTATGCTTAAAATTTGTGTTTGCTAAAAATAAACGATTGTTTGAGCATAGTTGCAGCAGACGATCACCATTATCTGTTCACTGTGTCGGAATACTAAAATATCCACCTAAATGCCTTTCTGTTTGGTTTAAACTGCCTATCTGAGCATTAAAGTCACCTGCTACGAGTACTATGTCTGAACGTTTAGCTTTCTGAAGAAGTTCAGATAGCTTTCTGTAAAATTCATCCTTCACTTCATCTGAGCTGCAGTCGGTGGGAGCGTAGGCAGAAATGATAAAGAGGCAACGACATTTGTCCCTATCCTTCTGAGTTCTTGCGGAGCCGTTTAGCCGAACAGCACATAGATGACTGTTAACGGGGATCCACTCTAGCAGTGCTTGTTCGGCCCTCATGCTTAGTGCTATGCCTACACCTGCCAGTCCACGAGAGCTGACCATCGGGTCACCAGATACGCGGAGTGTGTGTTGACTGCTGCACTTGCCTTGGAAGTCTCACCAAACCTAATTGCTTGGTGTCTAACGAAGCCTCGATGCATACCCAGAGGTTTCGCTTGAATCTTCCCAAAGCGCTTAACGTTTTGCATAGGCGTGATGCCCATCCCTACTAAAGCTCAGGTAAACAATGCAGTACTCTGGTGACCTACCTTGTGATTGTGTAATGTAATCTTTAACAGAGGGAAACATTCGTAGGTTACTAGTATTTAATGATAGCTGTCTTCGAAGAATTGCTCATAATTGGCGGAATAATCGATCAAACAATACCGACATTAAGGAACGGATTTATTCTTTCCTAGCCTTTCCCTAGATCTCAAGCTTCAGTATTCCTACATACAGACTTTCCTGTTTCCTTTCGAAACGCATCCTCAACGTAGTTTAGTAGTTTAAATTCGTTGAGCTGATGTATTTCGGGAACTTGCGCTGATACAAATTTATGTCAGATGTTATGTTAGTTACAACTGACTGTTGAGTACGCAATTCAAGAATGATGCATTTATATTATATTGAAGGATAGCTTTAATCTCTTGATTCATAACCTAAACATTCTCAAACATACCTCTAAATTTCAACATTATGCTAATCATAATTAACAAATTTAATAGGATGATGTCGATGTTTAGTTTACGCAGAGTAAAATAGAACGGTGTACCAACAATTAATCTCAAATATTCAGCTAACAAGTGTTATGTTCTTTTTTCCTGTTTAACTAAAGATGTCAGGAGATTTTCTTCACTGAAACATTCATCAGATATCGCTTAATCTGTATCCATGCTAGATACTAAAACAACATTTGAAGTTAAACTTCAATATATAGTCAATCTGTGTCGTTGAAAAATACAGAAAAGTAAAATACCTTCCTTGTATAGCTGTTTAACCACCAGTGGCTGTACAAAGTTGTTCCATACAACTTGTGTAGGTTATGCAAGAGTTGAAATTATAGGAAGAAGAATAAATTGTAAAATTTAATTATTCCATATTGTCGCATTCTATATCTTCGACTCATCAGTTCAATTGATATTATTTTCATTTGATGTAACTCATTCACCATGTATGTAAGTTTTCATGTATACTCAGTTTTAAGTCACAATTTGTGTAAACATTAATAATACCACTACCTGTTCAATCAAATGAAAATAAGTCTTTAAATGCCCAGGTACGACCTAGGGTGAGGAGAGTTCGCTCTTCCTCTCGAAGTGCCCTCACATGGTCACGCCTATACAGCCACTGTCAGGGAAGTCCTACTCACTGTCTTCTCATGGCAGGGGTGTTGTTTACTAAATTGAGAGGACGAAAAGCGAATGTTCGGTGCGGAAACCGGGTTGGTGGGCACACCTGGGGGGGTTGGAAAACCCTAATTCCAAACCAATGGTGCACATGGGCTCCAGAATCCCAAGACAGCAAATGGCGTATGAACCTATTGTTGGTCACTGGTTTCTGTGGGACTACATCTCCTAACATTGTTCCACTGCCTTGTGAATTAGACCTCTATGTTCAAGGCTCGGGAAGTAGTTCTCCAAGAAAACCACTTACTTGGATCTGGGTACTCTGGCAGTATTCCAGCCCTCATACAAATAGAATGACGAAGTGTGGCGCATATTTATTTAGTGCCTCCTTGTACCAATGTTTATTTAATTAAACAAATGAAAATAGATTAATCGAGTTTAAACATGCCAGTTATTGTTTAGAAGGTAAGTACTTTAATCACTAAGTCACTGTTTCGCTATTCAAGTAATGGTAGATCTCCATTATATGTACATAATAAATCTGTATATTATTTTCCTTTAATAAATACATAGTCATGTAGACCGTTTTATATGTTTAATTGAAATCATGTATCCTTCAATGTTAGACCATCTTTGAAAACCTGGAAGCACTGAACGGCTATCTCATCTTATTATTGTACTCCTCAGTGGTGCTCACTCACGATCCCGCACACGGGATTCGAACCCAAGACCTTCGGTCTCACGCGCAAACGCTTGGCCTTTAGACCACTGAATTGGCACCCGACGGTGTTGATGTCCAACTTCAACAAATCCACGATTTTGCGCGACCATCTTCCATTGTCTTCGGTGGATCGTCCAGTTCTTCCAGGTTTTCAATGCTAGTCTAACATTGCTCGGTTCGTTATCTCAATCGAAAAATTATTCATCTGTAAATGCTTATGTTTTTCCACATAAATAAAATTCATATTTATTGTACAAACCAGTGACCATCTGATTTCGGTAGTTTAATAGATAACACATTGGGCGCTTGAAACGTAATGTACAGACTGAACCCGAGTCTTAGTATAATGAAGATAAACACTAGGTATGCACAACTGATTAGTGCTAAGTAAGATGAAAACGCTCCTATTGAATTACGTTTCCAGCCATTATCAAGCTTTACTAATACTTATTTGCATTTGTAACTCTAGTTTACTTTAATGTGGAGGTTTGCCAAGGATTAATTATAGAAATTAAATTGTTTATTAGTGTTTGACTTCTACACTAACTTCACTTAGGTTGTTAAAGGTAAATACTACCATAACTTTAAGACAAATTTGGATATTTAAAATAAAATTGAAATCATTTATCCTTTCGATCACTAATTCTACTAGCTTTTAAGGCTTATTTCAAAGGACAGTGTTTTAGCTCAACAAATTGAATGGACTGGCGAGGGATTTTGTTAAGGTTTCAGTCACTATGGTCACGTTTTTACGCGTTTACTAATACACACTAAGCGAATTAAACTGAGTTCCTGTGTTAATTAAATTGATTTATTCTTGCTGTATAGGCAAATCCTGCTTCGGTTTGGGCACCAGGCAGTATCACAGCCCTCACACAAATCAAATGAGATCTGTGTGGCACATATGTATCTGGTGCCTCCTTGTACCAATATCTATGTGTTCAAATAAACAAATAAGTATATGCAAATAGTCATGTTAATTTTTACCATTAGAAACTTCAGACGTTGTATACTAGTGTGTGTATTTACGATTTATGGTTTCGATGTACTATATACATAGTAATACTTATTATTTGCATCGCATTTTAGAGTTTAATTGAAAGACCTCCAATTCGAGGTAAGGAGTTAAGGCCTTTTGCACCCAGTCAGTTGGACCATGCCTTTCGGTTACATCCTGGACCTTTACCTCAAGAGTATGCCTCCCTTTTTGCAGCAGCTCCATCCAAGCATATTCATCGTAGTGTACAAGATCAGCAGCAACTTTCAGGAAGTAATGCTACAGGTACTCGTGTACCGGCCACAGCTGTGCCTGGTCTATCTAGTTCAGGATCTTTTCATCGTAGACGCCGTCGACACGAAGTTCATCGAGGAGCACTTGCATCTGGAAGTGATAGTAGTTCGTCTATAGGGGTGCCAGGCGTTGGAGGCGGAAATGTTAGTGCCAGTCCAGCATCATTTTTCACTGGACCACCGACAGCCTATCCTCAGTTAGGAACGGTACATACAACGACATCGTTACCCTCAAAACCTATGCTTTCACAGTCTCATACACTTTCTTCATCCTTAAGTATAACAACTTCTGCACCGTCTACTAATATAACCATGCCAAATCAATCATCTAATGCTTCAGATAACAATCCTGTTACTCAGATGGTAAACCATAGTAAGTTAGTAGATCATCCACCTGGTCTTATTCCTGTATCAGCTCCTCATTCGCATCTATTAGGATCTTCTATTTCAACATCGTCGACATCTTCAGAGCCTCCACCTCCTCCATTATTAGCTCCCATACATCATCATCCAAATCAAAAATTGCCACATTCAATTCAAAATACATCATCCACTTTAAATCCTTTATACAATAGTAATACAAGTGATGCTAGTTTAACACCAAGTAAATCTGTTCCTCCTGCTCCACCGGTACTTCATTCTATTCATCCACCAAGTATAAATCCTATCAATTCATCTGTTCCTTCACAACCCCCTTCTTCTCATCAGTTTTATCACCATCATCGTCATCAGCAACAACAACAACAGTTGTCATCACATCTACACCATCATCAACATCCACTATCATCAATGCATCATCATCATCCTATTACGTCGTCTCACTCTTATCCATCTTCATTAAGTCAAAATTCTTCTCGATCAATGTCACCAATACCAATGGAAACTAATTCATCATCACCACAATCACCAGACATCTATAAAATACGTCGTTTAGATATGACTGATGAAGAACGTCGTAAAAAGAAACGACGTGAAAAGAAACGTAGAAAAGACAAGGAATAATGCATTGTCGCTGCTTTTTGTTATATTATTATTAGTAACTTGGTTAATATTTTCAAAATGCCATTTTTCTTATTTCTGTATTAAGTAGCTTTTTTAAAAAAATCTTCAAATCAGTTTGAACTGGAACATGTGACTTAATAATCTCGAACTACTGTGTCTTTATGTTCACCTATAGGTATAACTATCAGATTTTCTATATAGTCGATAATGATGCAGAGTAAAATGTAACTATAATACTCCATTATTGTGCACATTTCTTGTAATATAATTTGATCATTCTGTAAGTAATAACGTTTGTATATGAAGGGGTATTTTGTTTATTGTTATGTTTATTTGAAGGTGTATATGTAAGTTAGAATAAAGTTAGGTTTATCCAAACGAAGAAGTGTCATTATTTCACGAAGTCATTAACTGTTGAATTAAGCTGTGTTTGTAAATAGATTCATACTACCTGGTTGATGTTCATGTAATTGTTGTAAAGAAAAGTTGGATGATATGGTATGATATGATTCAGAGTCCGTCTCTTTGAAACAGATCTACTTATTCTTTGTCTTAAAATGCTTACATATTTTTTTATTCCTCAAACTCATTCTTTCTTCTTGATTCATATAGTCTATGCTTCATGTTTTCTATCAGCACCGATGCTGTTTCTATTTTTGTTACTCTGGTTGTGTTAATATTGTTTGACAACTGAAGCCGTTTTTTACGTTGGCAAAGTTTGCAACTATTCTAGGAGAACTCATTTGACTAATAAATAATCATTCTTATCTTTTTTTTATCGTATAGTAAACGTTCATTACTGATCAATCTGTTGTTTGAGTCGTAGAAAAATTAACCGATGATGATAAGTCTGATTCTTAATCGGCTTCATTATGACACCTAGTAACTGATCCTCAAGTACTTATAAATAAGAATTCGTTTATCCTATCTTTTTTTCTGCATTTGAAATTGAATATCTGTATCAACTATTTAAAGAACATTGAAAGAGTCAACTAGGCACAAGTTGCATCGTAAGCAGGTCATTTGGAATAAGTTCAGTTGTTTATCCTATTGCATGAATACGGTTTGTGTAATTTAACATTCACTTTACTCACCTATACTATTCTATCTTTAATTAGAAATTCTCACTTAATTAAAACACGTGTATATAAAGGAAGAATATCCTTTCCAACAAATTCTCCTCAGTTTCTACAATTATAGATCTAAATCAATATTCAAAAGTGAGCAAATTGAAAGGGGATAAGATAAATGTCAGCGAATCTGCAGTGTAACCGTTTTCCGATGTTCAGTATGCTTGCAGCATCAAGTATTCTCGAAGTTTCTTTTCATTTATTTAGTAGTTGCGTGTTGTATGTAAAAACATAATTTCCACTGAAGATTTCACTCAAAAATGGAGATTGTAGTAATTCTAATAGTTGGATTCATGAGTCGATCCAAGTTAGACCACCATTGAAAACCTGGGAGTACTGGACGACCGTTTCGTCCCAGTATGGGACTCCTCAGCAGCGTGCATCCATGAGGTCGCACACGTCATTCGAACCCAAGATCTTCAGTCGTGCGTGCAAACGCTTGACTTTTAGACCACGGAGATGGCATACAATGTTATTAATGTCTAACTTCAATCAATTCATGATCTTGCGCAGCCCTTCATCCATTATCTGAGATGCGCATTTCACTCCACTGGTCACGGCTTCTCAGTAGGACTCCAGGAAATCCATCTTAAAGCTATTGACTAGGGAGTACATGATTATCATAAATTCAACTATTAAGATTTCATTTCAAACTCTCACTATACTATTTTCACTGCGCAAGTTATGGTGTACTACAATGACTTGTTTACAAAAGACATATAGGTAGCCCTAAGTGAATAAAATGGAATCTTCACTGCGAATCACTCTTTCGTATGCAATATTCACTAATTAAATAAACGTAAAAACCCTTCAAAATGTTATATATTGTAATTTTATTGAACACGCAATTGTCAATGTTGAATTAACTAGTTTGATGTAATGTTAACATAAGTAAGTTTATACGTGAAATGAAATCATCAGATTATTTGTTAAGGGTAAATTATAATTACATAAGATGAAAGAAGTGGTGATATAATTACGCATCAAATCAATATTAGGTGGTGGTTGGAGGTAGTCGACAGGAGACCCTGAACCCGGATATCCTGCTACTTGGCACTCGTCAGTAACGTGTACTTGTAATCTTTAGGAAATTAATACTATCTGACGGATTCGATCCCGTGTCACTCAACTTCACAATAAGAGACGTTACCACTGAGCTATCCGAGCCTCGACTGACCTATAAGACTGAGATGTAATCACAATTGATTGATCACTGGGTAGCGATCAATGTCATGCGTGTTTAGTCCTTATTAGTGCAGATCGAATGTTATCGATCATGTTGCAATGTGGCCACTAGTCTAGGTGACTCGACACTGCGAGCACTATATATTGAGATTAGATGGTGATTGTAGATAGTCGACAGGAAACACCGGAGCTGGATGAGACAGTCCATGCAGGGCATCGAAGTCGAGACGATGGTAAGCAGAGGTCGGGGAAGACCTGTAGAAGTATCACATAGGATAGTATTTGCGCTAGTAATTAGAGGTACTTCCTGACACTGAAGGGATGTAGATTGTGGTGCTCTTGTACAAAAGGGATCTTTTGCTTGGGCAGCAGCCATAGCAAGAAGATCGAGCACCAGTAAAGTAACTGCATTCGCTTGGATACGTGACACAGCATCAGTGACATAGTTCGGCTCTCCTTTAATGTGACGAAGGTCTGTCGTGAACTGAGAGATATAGTCCAAATGTCTGCATTCTCGTGGTGAGTAGCGGTCAGGCTTGGTATGCAGAGCACACGTTAAAGGCTTGTAGTCGGTTAATAAAATGAAATTGCGACCTACTGGGTATCGGAAATGTTTGATGGCACAGTAGGCTGCTAGCATTTCTCGACCAAAAGCGCTATATCTCGTCTCCGTGGGAGTAAAGCGTCGTGAGAAAAGCCGTTTTAATCTCTGAAAATGCAGTACGTGGGTCATCGTTCAATTCTAATTTACGTGGATTAACGTGAAGTAAATATGTCGATGGTCGTAACCGTTTTGCCGTGTGTGGGATAAAACGTCGACAGAAGTCAGCCAACCCGAGAAATGCCTTCAGTTCCTTGAGTGTGGATGGCACGTTGTACTCCTCAATTGCTTGCACTTTGTCCTCGCAAGGCAAAATACCCTTCTGTTTAATGATGTGACGCAGAAACACTATTTACGACTTGCCCAATTCACACTTGTCTGGGTTGACTACTATTCCATTATCCGAAAGACGTTGGAATAAGAGTGTAAGATGTTGATAATGTTCATCTACGGTTGATGGTGCGATTAGCAGATCATCAATAGAGACGTGAACAAAATCTAGGTCTCGTACAATGCTATCGATAAACCTTTGAAAAGTTTGACCAGCATTCCGTAATCTTAATGGCATTCGTAGTAATTCAAACAGACCAAAAGGAGTCGTGATAGCAGTTTTCTCGATATCTTCAAGAGCAACTGGGATCTGATGATATGCTCGTACCAGATCGACCTTAGAAAAGATAGTCGTGCCCTTGAGCGATGTCGTGATGTCGTGTATGTGGGGAAGGGATGGTTATCAGAGCGTGTAACTACGTTTAATGCTCGGTAGTTGCCGAATGGTCTCTAGCTAACCCCATCCTTTTTGCGCACCATGTGAAGAGGTGAGGCTCAGGGACTGTGAGAAGGACGAATAATACCAGTAGCTAGTAAATTGTCAAATTCATGTTTAGGGGAAGCTAACTTGTCCGGTGCCAGTCAGCGCGATCTTGCCGTGACTGGTGGACCGCCGGTGACTATGTGGTGTACCACACGATTGGTCACCGGTAGAATCTCCTCAAGTGGTTTAGTTAATTTGGGGGATTTATCGAATAAAGCGTGGAATATGTCGTTACGCGAATAAAAGACGCCTAAGATTCGGCACGCGTTTGTTTGAGCTTTGAGGCTCATGAATTTGCTATTCGACGAAGTATCAATTAGCTGCAGCTTACGTTAATGGACTAGCGATTTGCAGTGCTGTAGGAAATCTGATAAGTCTTTATGATTGAACGCTATATTCGTTTCCTAAGCTATTCTGGTAACCCGTAAGCTAGAACTACACTGCGGCCTGAACACCAGAGAAAGACGCAAAGTATGAGAGGAATACTTTACTTCAAGTTTCGTTCTTGTACAGAAAATCATAAGTATTTATAGATGTTAGCGTTTGTGAAATCAGCATCTTATTTCGGTCAATCCGTTAATGGCATATTACGCTACTGACCAATAGTAACACGCCACGTTGGAATTCAGGAATGCTCCATCTTTCTGTGATTAAGAAGGACTCTTCGGCTCCTTTTGGGCCTCTGGAGGCTCCGTTGAAATTCTCCGAAAGTCGACTCAACAAAGTCAATACCGAGTATGGCTGTGGAAACATAGGCAATGAATAACGTCTACAGATACTGTCGTCGGTTGCCCAGGTTGACCGTGAGTTGTCGTGTACTTTAGGTAGGAACGGTTGAGCCATTCACAGTGCGTAGTTGAAGCATCGTGGCTTTTGACTTACTGTTACCAAGAGATACGACAGAAACTTGGGCACCAGTATCTACTAGGTACCTAGCGTTCATGCGATAGTCGTGCACATAAAAGGGTTTGGGTATGCCGCAACGGTATCGGAAGTTGAGACGTGCATGAATACGACCGCCCCTATCACTTTGAGGCAGTAAGTGACTAGCGTGACTTTGAGGCAGCTATGTAGCTGTCTTGGTTGTCAGTCCTTGCCAATATTTTGTCTGCTATGAGGGCCTCCTGGTGAGGTGTACGTCTTCGAGCAGAGCCTTGATCGTTGGTTGGATGTGTACTGGCAACGATTCGAGTCACAATTCCTTAAAAATTTCGAAATCAGCTGCCGTAGGTCCTGCAAGAGATTGCAGGCACGTGAGGTCGTGACTCGGCTTAGCATCACCCGGAGAGTGACGTGCTAATAATGTCCTCAACTGTTCCTCCTCCGATGGGAGGAAATGTCTGAGAATCGCCTCCTTGAGACGATCATAAACGTTAGGCACATTGGAGTTGAGGTAGACCTCACGGACAGCGGCTATGTGATCCCTTGGTAAAGATTCCAGAGCGTATGTTTATTTTGGCCGTTGGCTCATAATGCAGCGGGTCTTGAACTGAGACTCCAATGCAGCGAACCAAATTACCGGGTCATGGATGGCACAGGCAAAAATGGACAACCTGTGCGTCAGAGTCTATTATATTAATACTATTCTTATCGTTACCCGTCATTTCAAGTTGATGCCAGAATATTAAATATTGAAGAATATCAATATGAAAATGTGCAACAGACGTGGATAGATAAGTAATAGACTCACCGCAATTAGCTTCTTTGAAAGATTTGGTCTCGATTGTAAAGTGTTCGTATTTTCGAGTTCACCAATTGTTGTAGCGTGGCGTCGAGTCGCGGTTGACTACGATCATCACTACAGGAAGACTATGTGCCAGTTAACCGACAAGATCCCTCGTAAGCCAAATATCAGAAGGCAGTTAATGGCTGTAGTCGAGATGTACTTGTTGGCGATCTCGCGGTATCGAAAGAATACCGAGATTACGCTAAAGGGGTACAGCTGTGGTTACTGAATTTAACCGAATCCGCGCAAGGTCACAATCAAAGCGAGAAAAAATGTCTTTAGTACAGTTAAACAAGCAAGTACAGTAAAACAA